GGCAAAGGATGAATTGGGTGCAGGTTCTCCAGGAGGTAGCCCAACCTCCTTAAAGGCACAGGGACACACAAGGAGCCCTGCACATCACAATGGCAGCTGAAGCCCCCCCGTGTGTCTCCACACCAAATCCAACAAGTAAAACGAATGGCAAAAGCACTCATCAATTCATAACCAGCTTTAAAGCAAGTGTATGCATGTAAACACCTGTACTTGCATTTACACTTGAATGCCTATATACAGCGTACGGTGCCAATAAAATCCTATAGACACAAAAATGGAGTAGCTGTGGCTCCCAGGGCCTCAAACACAAGCATATTTTATGTTGTATGCTCATACACCTGTATTTATGTCTGTGGGAATGAGCCCTTAGTGACCAATTCCAAAAAAAGTTGGGACGTTGCCTAAAATCTACAGAAAAACAGAATGCAATGATTTGCTAATCTGATAAACCTATATTTTATACACAATAGAACATAGAAAACATATCAAATATTTAAACTGGGAAAATGTAACATTTTTGGAAAAAAATAAGCTAATTCTAAAATTGACGGCAGCAACATGTCTCAATAAAGTTGGGACAGGGCCAAGTGGGCCAAGTTTACCATGGTGTAACTCGAGACGCTGGCGAGTGACGGAGCTGCCTTAGGGCACGTCAGCCATCCAGCACGCCGCGCATGCGCCCCCGGTGTAACTTCTTTTAACAACACTCTGTAAACGTCTGGGAACTGAGGAGACCAGTTGCTGGAGTTTTGGGAGGGGAATGTTGTCCCATTCTTGCCTGGTATAAGATTCTAACTGCTCAAAAGTCCGGGGTCTTCTTTGTTGTATTTTTCATTTCAAATGTGCCAAATATTTTCAATTGGTGAAAGTTATGGACTGCAGGCAGGCCATCAATTTCAAAATTACCTTATTTTATTTTTTAAATGGTATATTTTCTCAGTTGAAACATTTGATATGTTTTCTATTTTCTATTGTGAATAAAATATGGGTGTATGACATTTGCAAATCATTCTGTTTTTATGTAGAACTTTTTTGGAATTGGGGTTGTATAATTAGTAAGATTCATCATAAGAGAGATTTTTCTGTGAAATGAATGCACTGATGCTGATGAGATCAGTAGTATTTTTTTATGAGGATGAATTGGTAGTCTACTGGTAGTTTTGCATTCCTCTGGATCAATAACATTGGAACAAAAGCTTATAATGTTTTTTCTTTTCACGTATGCTAGGTCCAGTTTGGAATTTGGTAAGAAACCAAAGCATGGTTAGAAAATCTATACACCCCCCATGGAGATAGTGTTCCAGACTGGATTCAAACCCAGGGCTGCAAGACAAGAGTGCTTATGTTGTCCACAATGGACTCAAAGGGCTTTGGTGTTTTTTTCATTGTTGTCATGTTACGATTTTAATAACATGCACTGCTTATATCACCAAAATTTCTAAAGCATTTTTTCTTCCATATACATGTATGCCATGCTCCTATTGCTGGCATTGATGCCAAACCAATCATTTAAGCAAAGCATGGACTCAGTGCTAAGTAATGTTCAGCAATACTCTGAATAAAAGAAAATAATACTGGCTCTAAATAGCAATATGTAGCCTGCTATGATGCCCTCAAGTAAAAAGGTAGTTTAGTAATAACAGCATAAATATACAGTATACCTAAAGAAAGGCTATGTAAAAATAATACAAAATATCCATCAAAGTAAGTAAAATAAGAGTTTTATTAATAGCATTGCAATGTGTAAAATATAAAGTAAAATCTTGAGTGATCAGGTAAAACAGTGCCATGGTGCTAGTACAAACCCAAACTAGTCTGTGTAAACTGAAAGATATGAAGCATATTAAAGTGCACAAGCAGTATTGTTGTTTATAAAGTGCAACTAAAGCCAACACATAATTTTTAGTTGTGTATGGAGGGGAGAGGGATTAGAACACTGTTTGTGTTCCCGTTAGGGAGATTTACCCCCACAGAGAGTGCATCTTTGACAATGAACCTGTGTACCATCTATGTACTACATCTGCCCGCCTGCTGCTGATCTTAGACAGTTACTTGGCAGCCAGGGCCGGTGCTGCCACTAGGCAAACTAGGCAGCCACCTAGGGCGCACTGATGCCTAGGGCGCAGGCTTGATCAATCACCACCCCCCTATTTATAATTGCAAAAGCCAATAGCAGGCTGGCTATTGCACCCGCCACTGAGCAGAGGAGCAGAACAGGGAGACAACAAGGGTTTTAATAGCCAGTTTGCGATTGGCCATTTCAAATTAAAATAACCAATAGCAGTCTGGCTATTGTCCCGGCTGCTTACATCCATCTTTCGCCTGTGGAAGCTAACCGGCAGAAGAATGGGGCTGCACGC